ATCAGCTTTGTGCCTCGTATTACATTAATTAACTAAACTGTTGTGTAATTAAAGCTGCTCTCACCTTAAAATAGTGACAGACACATTATCCAAAATAGAAATACAGTCTGGCTGCAAGCTGTGCAACCAGACTGAAGTGAAGATTTTTGGAGGAAAACACCTTGCACAGAGTGAAGATATAAGTTTACAGCAGCCGCTGGTCCTCGGGTTCATCGGGTTCATCGGGTTGACGTTGGCTGATATTAGAAAGCCGACTGAAGAAGATTGTTCAGTGCTTTCCAAGGTTTTCACAGCTCACACAGCCTCTGAGTATGAAGAGGGAAGGCAGTGACACAATTTCCTCTTTGCCTGAGTCAGACATTGTCAATGTGTGTGTATTTTTAGCCAAATATTTTTGATGTTGTGGCGACAGCAACACTTATTTTCTATGGGGAAATGCCTTTTGAATACGACCTGACCATTAGACATTCTTATAAACGTAAAGAAATAGCAGCCCAATAAATGGACTGCCAAACCTTTTTAGGAGAAAATTCTAACTGCAAACAATATGTTTATCTTCGCTGTTTCATGTTCAGCTACATCAGTTGCTTGTGTTTGAACAGAGTTGTTTGTTCGGGGGTTCCTTTTGAGACATCCAGCATCCGGGTTTTGAGGCTCCGAGGGCAAGAAAAGCACCACAGTGTTGTTAAACCCTCTGTGCCAAAATGTTTGTTCAGTCTCCGCTGTATCAAGTGACTAAATCACTAACAGTGTGCTGTCTCCCCCCTCCAGGCTGTCCGAAGAGCTCCATGACGGGACAGAAGGGCGGTGAAGCAATGGTTCCTCCTCTGTTGAAATAACGGACACACTCTACTTCATGGGACTGCTGACCTGATTTTAAAAAATGAACATACGGTTATGGAACACTTTAAAGAAACACTACAGACTCTGTTTTTTAGTATAACTTAGTTTATTGCCTATTTATGACCCTTTTTTGTAACATCCCACAGAAGCACTTGAAGGCTTCACCCTTGAATGGAGAGTGAAAGTATTAGTGATACATTTATGTGAGAAAAACCGAGCATCGGCTTTTTGGTGGATTATATCGCCGCGTTGGAAGCTTGGGGTAGAAATCCCACCAAGACTACCTCTCAAAAACCACACCTTGTCAGTTTGACAAGGGGTTTTCTGCTGTTTTCAGCAATTAAGGACTTAGTGCACGAGGCATTTGTGGCTTCGTGACACTTTGTCACAACTGTTTTTGAAGATGTTCCAGTTCAGCAAGTACCCCATGGACATTTTAGAGATGCTAAGTGGACACCAAGCACACCAGTTCAAAGGCCTTGGATTAGAGCGACAACTGAGCCACCAACAGCAGGTTCAGCTGCAGCATCAGCAGCAGCTCCAGCAGCAGCACCAGCCCTCCGGGGACACCTCTGGAAGCCTCCTGTCCGGCCTCGGCCTGGGATCCCTCCAGAGTTCTCGGAGCAATGCCTTCGCTGACTCCTCGTCGTTATTCGCCAAAATGAGCGCCCCTCCCCCGCCCATCTCCCACCAGAGCCAGTCGTCCTCGTCGTCCCACAGCTCCAGGAAATCCAGCAAGATGAGCAGTAGCAGCAGCGGCAGCGGGAGCTCCTCGTCGGGATACCCCCAGTTTCTGCGGCCGTTCCACCCGGCCGAGGCTGCGCTGGCCCAGGAGCAGCTCCACTCTGGGATGGGACGCTTTGACTTTGGTGGGAGCAGCAGTGGGGGAAGCGCGGGGGTCATCGGGGGCGTTGTCACACCCGCGCCCCCGCCTCCCCCGCTGCATCCAGGTCTCTCTGTCCCCCAGCCTTCCCCTGGTCCCCCCTCTTCCTCGCCCTCTCCCTCCACTTCTTCAGCCTCTAACAACCCCTCGGGCAGCACTGCAGTCCCCTTAGTTGGCCAGTCTGACCCCCGCAGCCTACACCAGCAATTCAGCTGCATGCTCGCCGCCAACCAGTACTTCCTGTCCGGCGTCCCCACCAACAGCAGCCTGGAGCAGTTCCTCGTCCAGCAAGGCACTCACAACCACTTGGGCTTGGGTCTGGGCCAAGGGTCCGCTGACTCAAACTCGGCCCTGGCCCCTCCCCCTGCCCTCCACTCTTCCCACAGCCACGGCCACACAGCTCCACAGCCTCAGCAGCAACAACAACAGCTGACCCCTCATGCCTTATCTCATCCACACAGCCACACTCACCACCCGCACCCTCTGCACCCGGCCCCCCAGCCCGCCCCGCTGGGTGGCTTTGATTTCCAAGGCATTCCAGTCCTATCCTCAAACCAAATAGCATCACTAATGCAGCAAGAGGCTGGCCTCCCCCTCCCCTTGCCCCTGCACCTGTCGCTCTCTAAAGACGATGGCGGGAAGACGGGAGACAGCTCGTCTTCGTCCGCGTCGAGCGGAGGAAGCAGGAGAAAGAAAGCAATGGCGGGATACCTGCCCCAGAGGAAAGCAGACAGTAGCAGCCACAGTCACAGCAGCCACAGCCACAGCAGCAGCAGTGTCAGTAACTGCCACAGCAGCAGCTCGAGTGGGCACAGTCAGAGCTCCTCATCGGGCCTCGTGGGAGGAGGATCTGGGATAAGTGGCATCGGAAGCGAGCCGCAACATTCCTCTCTCCTCTCCTCTTCATCGCAGTCATCCTCCACCGTCTCCTCCTCGTCGTCCGCCGCTCCTGCCTCTAACTCCACCTCTGTTCTCGTAGCCAACGGTAACCCGCAGTTGTCCAAATCTCAAGAAAGCCACAGTAACAGTTCGTCTGGCCAGCCCGAACCAGAGCCCCTTTACCACTGTGGTGAATGTGGTAAAACCTTCACCCACCTCTCCAGCCTTCGAAGGCACCTCCGCAGCCACGGCTTGACACCAGAAAGCCAAAGCAGGAAGTCAGACTGTAACTCTCCCAGCCCAGAGAGGATATTCTGCTGCGGCGAGTGTGGGAAGAGATTTAAAAAGAGGGGTCACCTCATCCAACACAGTGTCACCCACTCGGAAAACCGGCCTTTTGTTTGCAACATCTGCCAGAAGTCCTTCAACCGGCGAGAGTCCCTTACGAGACACGAGAAGATTCACGACGAGAAGCCGTTCCGCTGCCCGGCTTGCGGGCGTTGCTTCCGCGAGAGCACCTCTCTTCTCAACCACGCTGCTTCAGGTGCCTGTGGCAAACCTCCCCGGAGTTCAAAAAACCGGGCCGGCGCCGGATCATCCAATCCGAGCAGCAGTAAAATGGGAAGCAGTGCAGACCGGGTAGGAATTTCAAACGACGGGGCAGCGATGGCTAATGACAAGTATGCAACAGATTATTCCAGAAGTCGCTACCAGAGCCAGTCGTCCTACAGCAGCGGGGTGGAGGACTACAGACGATCACAATCCTCGACCCTGTACTCCTCCGAGAGTACGCTAGCCACTGAAATGAACAGCCAAACGCTCCGCAAAGCCCCTTTAGCCCCAACGCTTCACCCCCACCCACAGAGCCAGCAACAGCAGCACCACCACCACCAACCGCCGCAGCAACAGCCACACCTCCCCCTCTCCTCCCTGTTGGATGATTCGGAGGACGAGGTCACCAGCAGCGCGATGTCGGCCATCGCCGCTGCCGCCGCGGCCTCTTGTGACATAAACACAGAAAGCCGGGAAGGAGAGAGGAGGGATATCATCGGAGGGTTGCTGGGGGGGTTGGGGTTTGGTAACCTGGGTGGACCATCATCCACCTCCAACCTCAACGGTTCCACCATGCCTTTGACCCACCCTAGCCAACCCCACACGAAGCCCAGGAGGCCGAGGAAGCCCAGAGAGAAACGGGACCCGAGCACCATCGTCAGGAGAAGAAGGAGCCCTGCTCCCGCGGGGGACGGGTCAGAGAGGCCGTACAGCTGTCAGATTTGCGGCAAACGCTTCAGAAGAGCGGAGACCCTGCGGCGCCACAACCGCGTCCACACGGGGGAGAAGCCTCACGCCTGCGATGTCTGTGGCAAAATGTTCCGGGAGCCGTTCCACCTCACCAAGCATCTGACCGTGCACTCTGGTCAAAAGAACTACAAATGCAATCTGTGTGGGAAGATGTTTGCCTATGCACAGAGCCTCGTGAGACACGGGAAGTTGCACCGGAAAGGCGAGATCGACAACCAGGGGAGGAGGGTTAAAGGTGCTGCCGCCGCTGCCATCAGTCAGGTCGCCAACACGGGAAACGCTGACTACTTCTCATCCTGCTCCCAAGGAGAAAAGTCTCCAACGTCTGGCACCCCCTCTCAGAGGCTTTACACCTGCACAGTGTGCTGGAAGTCATTCCGCCACTACTTCCACCTGACGGCACATCAGCAGACTGTCCACGGCGGCGGAGTCGGGCTGGAGAAGTCCTTTCGCTGTGAAGTATGCGGTAAAGCCTTTGCCTACTCCAACAGTTTAGTGCGCCACAAGCTGTCTCAGCATGGCATCGACCGCAGCGGCCAGCGCGTCAACCAGTCCCAACCCTCCGGATACTCGCCGCTCTTCTACGATTCTGGATCAGGTCCCAACTACGCTGGTTCGTCTCACATGCAGCAAGGGGCCTCCGGGCCGCAGCATCAACAACAACAACAACAACAACAACAGCAACCGCCACCACCACCGCCACAGCCACAGCCGCCGCAACAACAACCACAGCAACAGCTGCAACACCCTTTTCAGTACCGCTCAAAAAACTTCCAAAAGCGGCATGGACAGACAAGAAAGCACAGAAAAAAAAAAAGGCGAGTGGTGATCCACAGCATCATGAGAGACGGAAAGCTGGTAGGCGTCCCTCTCAGTAAAGACACCCGCAGGAAGCTGATGATCCTGAGGAAGAAGAGGGGCAAACTGCAAGCACAGCTCAACAAGAAAAAGCTGCTGGCCCAGCTGAGGATAAAGGGCGGCGTGATGAAAGTGAAGTCGTGGTGCGGAGGCGCGGTCCGAGTCACCGGGCTCACCTCGATGGACGTCCCCATCAAGCGATTCCCCTGCCCGATCTGCCCCAGCGCCACGTACGCCAAGCAGGGCTCTCTGCTGGTCCACCACGCCATCAGGCACCCACCAAGAAACTCAGGCCGCCATGCCCGTCTGCGGTGCCTGGTGTGCGGGAGACGCACCAGCTCGTTACACAAAGCCTTGAAACACCGGGGCCAGCATCTTAAACAAGCCGCATTCCAATGCCGCCGATGCCGACACCGTTTCTGGAACCCCATCCTCCTGGCGCGCCACAGGTTCTCCTGTCGGGGGACGACCACCGGCAGCGCCAACTGGGGACTGATGAAGATGAAATCTCCGCCGTCACGTGACCAGTCAGATAGTGACCATTCACCAGTCCAGCTGCCGGTCCCAGTTCTGGTCCAGCCTGAGAGATCAACAGTTCTGACTGAGTACAGTCAGTAAAAAAAAAACAAAAAAACAAAAAAAAACGGAATAAAAAAAAAGTTTTCTAGACTAGATTGTTTTTATTTTTATTTTTATTTTTTAAATAATCCAAGAAGCGAAGCAAGAGCTAGTGAGTTTTTAACAGTTGGGAGAGTGGGGAGGGTTTAGTGTAACTACCGTAATATCCCCACAGCCCGGTCCTAACTTACTGCAGCAGAGGTGGACTTCAAAAGGCCCCAAAACCACCTCCGATACCGGTCCCACCGCCTCCTGAGGCGAAGGAACTATAGACCACGTGACAATTAGTAGAAGCTGTTTGACAAACGCATTAATCCAGTTTCCTTTCCATCATTTGATTTCTGATTTTCCCATTAGCAGTGTTCGCTCATAAATATGGATTGAGATGCCTATTGTAGGAGTGAGGTACCTTTTTTTTTTTTTCAGTTTATTTTATTTTTCAAATTGTTTTGACATTATTCACAGTTAAACAGTATAGTCCGTGTCTCTTGCTCTGTATGTGTTTATTTGTTACCCCCTCCCTCCCTCCCCAGTGGAGAATCTCTTTCTATACTGAGATTAAATCTGCCCTCAAGATAAATTAATCTTTTTAAGAAAAAGGAAATCCTGACCTGAAAAGTCCAAGAACCTCCATGAAAAATGACTCTCACCGGTGAAAAGGTCTCGTGTCATAAAAAGGCAATATACCAGTCGACGTGCTAAAGCGACTGAAAAAGGACAAAAAAAAAGAGTTGGGACAAAACAGAGAAATGTTGGTGACCTTGTTTTTAATGTACACTACTTTTGTCATTTTTTTAAAAGAGGCGTGGACGGAGACGAGAACACGACTCAAACTGTTAATGTGTGCAGGATTTTAAAAAGGACAACAGAAATAAAAACCGGAGTGTACTGTACAATTCGTATTATATTTTATTATATATTGATTATTTGCTGTTTTTTTACTCCAAGTATCATTTCTTTTATCATTGTTGGTATTGTATGGGTGGGAGGGAACGAGTTGGGGGACTATCTTTGTAAAACAGCGGGATGAGTATATGTATCGATGTGATATTTTTTTCCCCTCCCTGTACCCCCTTTTACCTGCTCCCTCATTGCCACAGTTATGCCCAATTTTTGTAACAAAAGCGTGTACACATAGTTCATTACTTAGGTCCTGTCCAGACGTGTTCTTTCTTTTTTTTTCTGTAAAACTAAAACATGTAATATTATTACTAAATTACTATCCTTTTTCTTTGCCTAAAAGTGAGTTGTTGAAAACCCTCAAATCAAATAAAAAAAAACAAAAATCTGAACTGTTTTTGTCGTCTGTTGTTAATGTGGCTCCCTCATTGGTAGTGATACATAATGGGGAATATAAGTAATGAAAAACACTGTAAGGCTTTATGTTTCTGGTAGTAAGTTCATCCATTTTATTATTGGAATTGTGCCTTTTTATACACAAATCTGACATTTTTGCATGTTCAGCAGTGTAATGAGAGACTAAGTGAATGAATTCATTAGAAAGTGACTAAACACCGTCTCTGTTAATATTAATTTACATAGTTCTTTCCAGGAAACTTCTTGGTAAATATTAAGATAATATTCAGAATTTACAGCTTATTTATAAAAATAAAATACATTCAAACTTGACAAATAAACGCATGTCTCAATTAGAGGTCTTGTCTGGATTTTATAGAAGTTCTTTGGAGGTATAAAACCTCTTAAAGCCCACAGAGTCGCCCACTCGAGCGAGTTCTAAGCCGCTTACATCGCCTCCACAAATACAAACGTCTAACCCTTTTGTCAGTATGGACGTCCTACACATCGTTAGATTCTCCACAGTTCAGTTCATTATACAGAAACCATGAGCTCCAAAGGATCAGATGAATGATTTGTAATTGATATGTTATCTGATAGCAGTTTGAACAGCAGCCACCAGAAAGAGGAGCACTGGGAGCAGAAGGAGCTCACCTTTATCTAGTAAAGTTCTTCTACTAAGATTATATGTATATATATATATATATATATATGAATTATAAAAGACAATATCAGCATCCTCCTCCTCTTTCATGTGGCTGTCTAACCACAGCAGTGAGTTCATGTTGGTTCAACCGAACCACACGCACACACACACACACACACACGCTCTCTGACTTCCCTCCAGTGGTTTGTAACCATGCAGATGGCTGTGAGTTGATTAGCTCAGGTTTTTTGTTTCTGGTGTTTCTGCCTGCAGCCGAATACACAACGAAGGTGAACACGGTGCTTTAAAGGATTGAAGAACAGCAGCGTGTCCCGGATATTCACTGATAACCGTTCTCATGACAACTACCTCCTTACTGAAGAAATAGTCCCAATATCATCACTGTTGACAGCTTATTTTTCACATGGGCGAACTTTAATTCAGATAAAAATGATCACTAGTGGAAAAAAATCTAAAAATCTCATTTTAAACCTTTAATTTACTTTCAGCTTTATTAAGAAAATACATTTTCGTATATATTTCACACTTTAAAAGTACGAAATTAATAAATTTCTGAAAGGTTTATATCCTATCCTCGTAAAATAGCTGAATTTTTATAGTTAAATAGTCGTATTATGGTGATAGAGAGATTTAGATCTTTTACAATAACACAAACAATAATATACATGATATTGATTATGATTTTTAATGCATTAATGTGTGCATCACTTTAATGTTGACGCTGGTAAAAGTGAGATTAATTTTAATTTTTAGGATATTTTATACATATATTACTTTATATACTGCAGTATAGCTAATAAATGTCCCTCCTGGGGGTTAATGAAGTCTGTTTATATAATAATAAACATAATTTATTTGTTTATTTGTATTATTAATCTGAATCTGCAAAGTATCTTGGAGTAAGTGGAGTACAAATATTCCCTCTGAAGTGCTGTGGAGTAGAAACAGACTCTAAAAGTACCTCACATACTCGAGTGAATGTACTCGGTTTGGTAAAATGCTGCTTTTGTTTGGCGTTTAAAGGATCTTGGATCAGATATTCTCAACATGTTTTCACACTGAGACACGGCTGCCCTTAAACAACCCGTCTGTTT